GAACTAATATAACATACAAGTTTCACTTTTTGAAACAAATTATTGAAATAAATGGACTTTTCCTTGATATTCTAATTTTTTGGCACATACCTGTATAGACAGGTGTGTGGCTTTCCTAATCACGTCCAATCAGTATAATCAAACACAGCTGGACTCAAATGAAGGTGTAGAACCATCTCAGGGATGATCAGAAGAAATTGACAGCACCTAAGTTAAATATATGAGTGTCACAGCAAAGGGTCTGAATACTTATGAACATGTGATATTTCAGTTTTTATTTTTTAATAAATCTGCAAAAATGTCAAAAATTCAGTGTTTTTCTGTCAATATGGGGTGCTGTGTGTACATTAATGAGGAAAAAAAATGAACTTAAATGATTTTAGCATATGGCTGCCATATAACAAAGAGTGAAAATTTTAAGGGGGTCTGAATACTTTCCGTACCCACTGTAACAATCAGCCATTAGCATTATGTATCCTATATGCAAAAGGAAACTGGAATGTGAAGTAAGACTGGCCTGCCCTCTAAAAGATTTGTCCTGTGGGGTTAGCCATTTAAAATTTAATGGTTGTTATTCAGAATTATGCTTTAAGGACCACGAATATCTAGAACAATGTTTATGGATGTAAATGTTGCCTAGCAGTTGGTGCTGAGATACTGTGGTACAGGGCAAAGTGTTAATGACTGACCAATGGACTGGCCAACAGCAACATGCTTAGGCCCATTGCCAACATTAAAAGTTACTATAAAGAAGGGTTTGATTGTTAGCTTTGCATCCATGCCATGATGCCTATGGCCAATACTACAGGGTGCGCCATGGAAAAGCAACTTGTATGCAAGTGGATTATTTTGAAGGTGGGCTACTTTTCCATGGCCCACCATGTGCAACGGACGTTTTACGTGAAATGGAAGGATGAACTGTTGATGTAGAGCTGAAAAACCTACAGGAAAGAGCTAAATGTTTAAAAAACAAACTATTGTACCATCACAATCCAAACCCTACTCAGACTTTACCCTCACTGTACATTAGACTGTTTCAGGTTCAGGTTCAGACTGTATCTGCTGTTGCAATGGCCAACATTAGGCATCCCTCTTGATGTTTACATTCTCCAGACATAGGGGAGGATGATGAGAGAGGGAGGAAAAGAGAGACAGAGAGATTGAATTACTTACAGTTGCAGCAGTGTAGCTCAAAGTCCTCCAAAAGTGAGGGCTTGTGGGCATGGACACAACATACTTTGGCTAACAATAGGGTTTAGTGTAGTTTTTATGAGAAGTGTTTGTGTCTATTGTGTGTGGATGAGTGAGGAGCAGACAGAGAAGGTTTACATGACATGTTTAAGGTCTGTTGTCTTTTCATTTCACTCAAACAATACATTTACAAGTGATCATTGTTCTTGTAAACAACTAGTGCGTAGGAATTAAAGATGTGGTGCCTTTTCTGTGTATTTAAGTGTGTCAGCTTGATAATGATAGCCCTTGAAACTGACTGTGTGATGATTCAAGTAAAGAAAAACACTTAGAAAGTCCAAGATCTTGGAATGGCTGAGGTCTCCTGGGGATCCAGCTATCATCATGGTGTTCTGTGAATAAGAAAAACATGCCCAGTGGAGCTGTAATGAGATTACTTATCAGCCAGGCCATTTGGAGGGTGTGCCTCGCTTCCTCTCAGCATCTCTCCATCTGTCAGGGAGATGGAAAATGACCTCAGCACCTACTGTCAATTGTGTCATGTGGCACCAGACTCTATGTCAAGCTTCATGTTGACTGAAGGAGCAGGCAGGCCAAACTTTCTGACATATAGAAAGTTTATATAATGAACCTGGCCAGATTTGTTATTTTCTTGTAGCTGCTTTTAACTCAGCTGACTTTTAGAAAAAAATATTAATCGATCATTATTGTTTTTCCCTTCCAAACTACAAAAGAAACAACCCAAAACAGCTTGCGCATTATAAAAACAACTGAGAGATGCACTTTAAGCCCAGAGCAAGCAATCTGTTGTGTTTGTGTGATGAAACAATGCACCGCTTCAGTAATTTAACTGATAATTTTAACTCACAACAAGCTTAGTGGGAGATGGGCTGGAAGTTTAGGTTTCTGTGTTTAGGGGGTAAAAACTTTAGAGTAGCCACAGCAGTTCTACAGCATTCATGAGAGGACTTTGTAAATCACATTGGGTAAATGCTTCACACACAATTTGCATTAATTTGGAAAGCATAACTATATTTTTTCTCCTCCAAACTACATGAAAAGATTTTATTATCAACATGTTAAACACTGCTGATAAAAAAAAAATCTCTTTGAATTCCAACAAGGGAAATGGGCCCAGCTGGAAATGTGACTAACATGAGCCTGTGCCATTAGTTTGTCTGGTGAATACTACAACTACACCCAGCAAGCAGCCTGTTTCACTTTCAATTATGACAAGATATCTTTGAGAAAATCTTGTACCGCTGATGGTTTATTGGAGTGGATCACAAACTGGTCCACAAACATTATTCAAGCATTTGGCACTGGATATGGACACTTGTTGAACAAAGAACGGAACCCTGGTGAAATTAAAGTTAATTAAAGTTTGGAGCAGGCTACATGAACTACGGCTTTGAGCTAAATGCTAAAATCAGTATGCACACTGTACAGTGCTAATAGGTCGATGTTATAGCATGTGTGTCATGTTTACCATCTCTTTCAATCTTTAGTGTGTTGGTATGCTAACATTAGCACTAAAAGTGCAAGTCAGACTGAAAGGTAGTTTTCTTGGTCAAAGCAAACTGAAACTTTGCCCTAATGATAGCCCTCAGTGACAAGTGAAGGTATCACCAAAATGATTACAAGTTATCTTGAGGGGGGAATGTCTGACTAATTTCATGAGTCTGTTAAATTGCTGTCAGGGCATTTCACTCATAACCTCAAATGTCAACCTGATGGTAGCGCTAGAGGAAAGGTCAGGCCATCACCAAAGTTAGGACACAGGAAGGGAACCATGAAATAGGTGTACCCAGTTCTGTGCCAACCTACTATAAACTGCAGATGTTAAAAAATTTCACTGGATAAGTGAAAATATTGATCTGTTGGTGGCACTAGGTGAGAATTTAGCAACCAAAGTCAGACTACATCCACTTGAGGATAAACATGGATATGTGTCCCAAATTATATCCAATCTATTCAATAGTTGTTGAGAAACTTCACTAAAACCCAAAATGTCCGCCTTATAGTGGACCGGAGAACATTAACATCAGTGAATGTCAACCCCTGGAGACAATAAGTGATTCACTTATAGAGATGTAATAGTTGTTGAAATATTTAACTTTGAACCAAAATTGAACCAACACTGTCACCTGTGGTTAAAAAAAATCTAGGGTGTAGTCTTATGCCCAATTAAGAGACTGGAAATGGTCATTAATAAGTTGTCATAACACAAAGCAGCTGCTACTCACAGTATAATCACCATGGAATGGTCATAAAAACCAAACCAATTTTTCAGCTTATTAAACTAATCAAGTCTAATCTTCTTCTGGGTAATGCCCCTGATCCACACTGAAATCAATCATCTTAGAAAACCATGTGAACACACTAGCCCACACCCAGCTTATGATGCTGGATATAACCCGTTTGCATAGATGAATACACCAATACAAGGTACTAAAGGTAAACTGTATTGCTTCCAAGAATTCTCATATGTGAATGTATTTTACTACTCTGGCATAGTTTCTGTGTGAAGTCTATATTATTCCAGAGGGCCATTGGGGAAGGGGGTTAAAGCCTGGAATGTAGTTTCCCCACAGGAAACTGAGCATGGAGGTCTAGCACTGCCCCACACCCAGATCTCTCCATCAAATACATGTTTATCTGGCAACTGAATTATAGTACAAAAGTCATAAATACGTATTCTGTCATGTATGGTGCAAAGCACAAAATAAACACTACTGTACACAGCTTTTTTGTTTTATTAAACACACATTATCTTTGATACATTTTACAGTTTCATTGTACAAAATTTCACATTACAAAAATACTTCATTTTTTTTAACAAACATATTGAAGCTGTCTACTTTGAGAGCTTTGCTTTACATAAAACATAATATTCACAAGTTGTCAACTTTACTAGATGACATCTGCCAAACATTGTTTCTTTAAAGCAGCATGTTTTACATTTAGTACACAGGTCTCAACAAAAAGCCATAGTGGGTGTTTTTTTTCTAAAGATGCACTGTATGCATGTATGTATGTGTATATATATACAGTATATATATATATATATACATATATATATCATGGATTTGTTTTTATATATATATATTTTTTTTTATCCATAATTGACATGTACAAGACAGAACAGATTAGTTCAAACAACCAATCAAACACAGAGACTTAAAACTGCCTTTAATCAGTGGTTTTTGCTAATAAAAAAAAATTTAGGCTACATTAATATCATGCAAACCTATTACCATTATTATTGGTTTTATAATTCCATTATAATAATGTATTATAATGCAGAGCCTGTAGACTTTAAGAAATATTAAGCAGTTACAATGTGCCAAAATAATAAATACTGTTACTAAATTGTGCTTGGTACTGAAAAGCTACTATATGTAGCTACCGTTCTAGTCCCTGTGTTGGTTTTAAGAATATAAATGTCCGTGTAGCATACCGTTTATCACAGGATTCCTCAGTGATGTGAATCATCACTATGAGTAGTAACAGTTAAGTACATGTACAATATATGATGCTTTCCCCCACACAGTGTTCTCGTCTCAAGTTACACATCTGTTGGAGCAGGTGCCAATTCTCTGGCTGGAGAGCGGCACGCTTGTAGGTTATATACACTAATATATAGGCATGAGATTAAGACACACACAGCCTCACCCAAACACACAGACGAACATACTCAAGGGACACATCCGACACACGCTCTGACACTTACTCTGGCCTAATACTTGTGAGCACCCATCTGTTACATATAACAGACAGTCATTTCATTAAATGGCTCAGTGGGGGCTCATCCTAGCCAGCAGAAAGAGGCCCACATCCAACACATACACCCTCACTGCATTTTCCACCTACTGTAAATTATGTGCAGCTTCTGAGAAATGCTACATTATGAACATAATAAAAGCTTACTGTACAAAGCTTTCCACACGCTTCACTTCATGTCATTCATGTCAAGTGGTGAAAACAGTACAGAGATTAGCCAAAATAGTGCTATAATATCACACATACAATGCTGATGTTTATAATAACAGCAAACTAAAACAATATCCTTCTTGACATCAAGGAATTAGTTTTTTGTCATATCTGTATGAATGGTAGGAATATTAGCACAGCTCCCAAGCTGGATGCAGCTGAGGGAAAAAGGCATAAAAGTCACACATAACTTTGTTTACAGCTGCCACTTCTCATCTTTGTCTGATTTCCTTTTGTCCATAGAACGGACTTTGCAGAGGAAAATCTCCAGTAATCTTCATAACAGATGCAGGATAAATATGTTCTCCCTCTTTTCCACACTAAATCATCTGGTGAGCACGAGGAAAAATGAAAATTTCCACTGAGAAAGCATCATTTGCTAGACTGCATTGTTGTTGCTTCTTCTCATCCTCACAGATGTTCAAGATTCCATATTTGTCTGCATTATCCAGATTTTTTTGTTTATTTTCCAGCATGGAGCAGTGGGTGTTAGTAGTGATTTAAATGGCACAGGTCATGGCTATATAGAAGCATTTTGCAGTCTTCCCTATGGCATGATGAGGTGGTTGCTCCGCTCTCTGACGTCCACTGGAGGCACAAGATCTTTCTTCACTGGAGTTGATGATAGGGCAGAACACCTACCTTTGGGCTTGAATAAATCTGACACAAAGAATGCCTGTGGAAGGGAACGGGAGGAAGCTCCTTTAATATAGCAAAGTCAGAATAAATGCCCTTATTAAGAACTATAAAAATACAGCATAGTATAGTCCTGGAGGGTAATTTTTAAAAAAATATATGTATAAAAGCAAATACTAACAGTTGAATTCTACATAACAACATCTGGGTAATTTTCCTTCATCACATATCTGTCAAAAATGAAACATCATTAACATCTGGCCCTATGCTGAGGTTTGTAGGTCACGGATATTTAATGATTCAATCCTAAATTCAATCCATTTACAAACCAAGAAATACAGTATATCCAAGAGCCATTATCATTTTCAGATGCCAATAACAGTATTCATTACTCTTTACAAGTGAGTGATAACGTTTCATATTACTGACTTACACTAAGTGTAATGCTCTTGACACAAACCAGTGTTTTATACAAAATAAGAAAGACTTACCAAAGTCACCCATTAGATTTTATAAGAGATTTTAATAAGTTAATGAATAATTATAAAGTGTGGAATGGTCAAAACTTCAGCTCTAAACCTACTTTTATAAATAAATTCTGTAATTTGAAATCTGTTTTGTGTTGCATGTGTCCTTTTAATTGACAAGGCAAGTTGACTTGTATAGCACATTTTCATACACAACGGCATTTCAAAGTGCTTAAATGGGCTCCTGCTATGATTTTTACTGTTGTTATAAATGAGAAATTATTAAATTTACAGATAAGGACACAAATTCATAATCATTTCTGACCTAATCTAACAGACTAAATTATAACAATCACTACTCACCACGCAGTAGGCCACCAGGGCTCCCTGTACAAAACCGGCCAGCACATCAGTGGGGTGATGTTTGTGATCAGAGACACGTGATAAGCCAGTGTAGAAAGACATCATGATGAGGGTGAACTGGGTCAGAGGGCGCAGCAGGCGGGCTCCGTGCCAAGTGAAACGAGACTGCAGGTAAAACTGCGAGAGAGACAGAAGTGTGGGTTGATACAAAGTAGTGTCTATCCATAGAGAATACAGCAGAAAACATGTGTCTGCACAGTAATCAAGTAACTTACCACCAGATATAGCATGGTGTACATGGAGAATGATGCATGCCCAGAAAAGAAGGACTTCCTGAGAAGAGAGGACACTCAGGACTACAAATATACAGTGCAAATCAGCACAATAAATACTATACTAAATTGTGATAGTATTTTTTCCTGTGAAATATTTCCTGCTATTTTGATAAATTTGACATTTATTACAATACCTGGCCTCCTGAACTCTGCTGTCTGGGCCCTGACACTGGTAGTCAGTGATGTAGCCCAGGGAACAGTTGATAGCGGAGAAGTCAGGTTTGCACACATCGAGGAAGTGAGGACGCATGCGGCCTACTGACACTTTAGCAATGTCAGTGAAGGACTGGCTGATGGCACAGCCAAAGATGAACACTCCAATCTGCTTATAGAGAGCAGAAATATAGGGGTTGCCCACAAAAGACTTTGATCCCTCGCTCAGAAAATAGATCCTGTAGCTCTCCCCAATGATGATCTGAAGGGACAGGAAAGAGAGTTATGACAGAATATTATGGCACTAGATTCACATCTTCTGGGTGCTCAGTGAAAATGTGTGAGTGCAGGAGGGCTAGTATCGTTTATGAGGAATGGGACAGTACATCTAAAATCAAGTTTCTTCAGCCAGTGTGATGTCATATTTCACATGTAACTAGACGGAGTTGTTTTTGTTCATTATCTGGATGAAATCCAAGTATGTGGTTTGGTGAGGGTGGAAACAGAGTTCATAGTGGAGAATTTTCTGCATTAAGATATTATGACAGCTAAAACAAGTGGTTTCTTCTGAAGTGGTTTGAAAAACGCTACTTTGTAGGTGAATATATTTACCTGTGACATTTTACTTCTGAGACAAAACAGTGAGGCAACTCATACTGTCTGCAAAGCATAGTTTTCTGTGAGTGTGTAAATAAACCACAGTCTAAAACTGACAATTGACGGGTAAGGCGCACTTAGGGGGAGGTGTACAGCCATAACTCACACCAGCTGTTCAAGCTCAAAAATGCCTTCTCCCTTCTCCCCTGTTGTCTCCCAGCCACTTCACAACTGAAACAGTGGAGGGGAGTAATAAGAGCGAGAGTAGTGAAGTTTCAGGGAAAAAGGGGAGGGATGCAGGGGAGTGTGACAAGAAAGGAAGGTAGAAAACAAAAAATATGGACAAAGAAAGTGCAAGGTAGGAGGAGAAAAGGGAAGAAAGAGGAAGCTGAGAGGAGGAACGAGGAGTGGAGAGAAGGGAGGGAGTGGGGGAGGCACCGCTGGTTCTAATCAGCAGAAATGCTGAGCTAGTTGACGTGTCTGATTTTGGTGGCCAGACTGCACCAAGAACACATTGAGGGCACCCTTGTTTTTCAACGCTTCAGCTCTCGCTCTCTCTCTAAAACAGCTCTGATTTCACAAGGGACGTCTGGCTGTTTTCATGTTAGTATCTCGGCTTCATCAGACATTTTTGCGAGGGGCGCAGGAACAAGCCCCATTCTGGGAAAACACTCTCCGCAGAGGGATAGCCCTTAAGGGCTGTGGCCTTACAGCCTGATAGTGTATTTTGTTTCCACCATCCAGGCCTTTAAAGCCAGCTTGATACAGCTTAGCTGTTTTAATGGGAACGAGGGAAGGAGGAGAAAACACATCTGATTCTCCTTGTGTGAAAGCTTTAACTATGTGAATGCACAGATTAATTGGCATTGTATGATATGTACAGTAGCTGTTACACTGAAACCTCAGAGACAATGACTGGGGTAAGGTGCTCATTTGTTGTTGTTTGTTTGGCTTATGCCAAAAGTCTCATTATTTCCAAAAAGACACCATGATGTTTTCAGTTCTTCTAAAAAGATCTGCATAATTTATCAAGGATGTGGCCTCTTGTGTTTCTCAGCTGTATTCAGATAGAAATGAGAAACCACTAAATAATGTTGGTGTTTTCTGGTTCTTGTCCAGATTGTATTATCAATGATGGTGGACTAGACGCCCTCCTCAGCAGGTCTTCAATGTCCGTTTTAAAAACTACTGGATCCCACTGACATTAGTGTCTTTGTTGCCACTTGTGCTCTGTAAGACACCACGGTCCAGGCCAAGCTTCAGACTTGCTTTATTCAGCATTTGTCTTTCACAGGAGTTCCCAGACAGACTGTAAAGTCACATGATGCCTGGGGAAAATGAGATATATGGCAAAGCCATCTTGTTTGAGGCCTTCACCACAATTCCACCCCACCATTTACAATATTTAACTGAACAACCATTGCGTCAACCATAATTACATGGGGCCAGGACTCCTTCTCACTATGAAAACCCCCTGTGGCCCAAAGCCCGCAGAGTAGTCTGTAGTGCTACACTGGCGAGCTGTGGGAGAATTTGTGCCATGAGGCACCATGCCACTGTGGGTTTGCCATTTGACAAGTGCACATGCTAAGGCAATGCTGACTAACAACACCACAGGGAAACTAAAGGATTTTCAAGTGTGACTCCTGCATAGGACATGACCCAGGAATCTATTTTTGCTAGTCCGCTACAAATTACCACTAACTTGGTATTTTCAGTGTTGTACCTGTTGAGACATCGATGCTTGTTAGGTGTTTAGCACATGGGTCTTAAAACTGTAGTTGTTAAGGTTTTAAAAGCAATTCCAATGCAGTAGCTAGTTAATTGTTAAATAACTTCTCAGTGTTTAGCGGCGTTTGGTAAGGTGTTGAAGTTCAGTGGTCATTTTAATTTACAATCAGATTAAGTCCAGTCAGATAGAAACAAAACCTAGACACTCTGACTTGGTCCCTTTTCTGTTGCCCCACTTAATCATCTATAATTACAATAATTTGGAACCCAGCATTGTAGCCCACTACAGATGTGTGATGCAGGAAGTTAGACTATGAGATGTGGCGGACAATGTTGTGACTCTTTGTCTTCTGTGTGTTTGTTTTTCAACTTACAGTAGGTGTGAATATGAGAGGGTTTAGGTTTTGATATCAGAAGTAGGGTTTTGTTATGTTTTACTATACTAATTTAGCAGACTGCAAAGAAGAGCTCTGCAAAGGCTGCTGCTCTTAAACTACACTGGCCACAACAGCACATCAGCAACACAAGAGAAGCCGCAGTCCTCCGTCAGCGTCTCCATTAGAAGGATTGTGCCACAGTAAGGCTAAGATCTCAGAAGTGTTTTAAGATACCTCACTGGCCAAAACACAACTTTGTACGTAGACAAACAAGGGGATTAAATTGCAGGTATTTGGTGTAAAAGTGTGACTGAGGGTCGACCCGTTATGAGGCCTCAATATAGCGATGCATTTTTATTTTGTTTTGTTTTATCAGGTAGTTACATTACGTGAGGTCTCTAGTTTAAGACAACCCTGAGTACAAGAAACCATTATAAATCAAACAAACATACAATCAGCCAAAGGATTTTTGAAAAAATGCCAGAAGAGTCTGATGTAGATAGGGTGTTTAGCTTCAACCTGAGGCAAGTGAAGTACATCTTATTTGAATTACATTATAATGGTTTAATGCGCAGACACCCTCACTGTTTTCTCCCAGGAGGTGCAAAACAGAGAAACTATTCGACACTTGTTTTTTTAACTGACTCATCTTAAGCCCTCAAAAGAGAAAACCTTGAACAAATGTAGTTGACTGCTTGTTATCCTGAATGTATTCAAGCCAATCAGAAAGACCGATCACACTGGCAAACAGAGGAGTTGTTTCAATAATCATGTAGTGCTCTTCTCAGCTTCTAACCACAGTGAGTTTGTCAGATAACAGCCCTCTGATGGAGTGTGCACAAGTGAATCTCTCTGAACACGAGGGAAGAGGGTGTGTGTGTCGTGGGTGAAGAAAAACATGAACACCATTTATACAAAATAAGTTCATTGTTGGAAACATTACTGCTATAAGAACCAAATGAGAACTCGACTCAGACATTGAGAAATACTACAGTGCACTGAGGATGAGAAAAGAAATGGCAAGAATCTAGTTTAAGGTGTCAGTGGGTGCTGCTAGTAGTGGTGAAGGCTACTGAAACATAATAAGTGATGATAACATTAGTGATCAGTGAGAGGTGACTTACAGAGAGGATGGTGATAAGAATGCCAGCAGCACTAAGCACACCGTCACTAATGGTGTCTCCATTTTTGGCCGGGTACTTGATGGACTCATCATCGCAGTAAAACCCTCTATGGTAAGGCTGAACAGCGCTACTTTCAATGACCAAGAAAGGCAGGCCGGCTAGTGTGAAGAAGCAGTGAGAGAAATGAAAGGGGTGGAGATGGGTGAGGGAGGGGGAGAGATGGAGGTGCTAGGTTAATGATATGAAAATCACAGAGGTCACAGGTACAAGCAAGAGTTAACAAGGGAACATCTGGGACTGGCTCAGTCAATTCTGTGGCTGTTATCTGTAACTAATCAAGAAATAATGACTCCAGCTTTGTTCAATATTCAGTATCACTGAGGCAGATCATTGGATATATTTAAAGAACCATAATGCTGATTTTATTTTATGCTTTAGTCTAAATTATGCATGCCTTTCATTACTGCTAGCCATTTTCCAACGCACACCATACTTTTTGAAATATCCTTAGGTTTGCTAATTTAACAAGTGAAGGCTTTTAGAAACAAAACATAATAAAAGTAAACCTTTAGTCTGCTTACATTTATAGTTTACAACACACTTAGATGTCTTGTGGTAATACAACTTAACTTAATAATGACAGATAGCAAAACCAACATCTAAATTAAAACCCAAAGCTGTTTAAAGTGATATTTAACATGAAGAGCAATGAACTGCTTGTTTTTCTTCGTCTTTATCTTAACATAAGTTCTGCTTACTAGTTTTCATAGGGAGCTTTCACCTAATCAGAAAACAGTTTGCCCAGTTGCCAACTGAACTACAGAAAATTCACTGGCAACTATTTTAACAGTAAATGAAATATTTAAATATATTGAGATACATTAGCTTCAGCTTTAGAAAATTGTGAGGGACATTTTTCACAGTGTCTTGATGTTTTGTAAATTAAACGATGATTTGGTTAATGAAGAAAATAAACAGCATTTATAGCCTTACACTGTCCTGTTTCAAGGTTTGGATAAACCTTTAAGCTCAGAAAATCTTTGGCATTTTTGCTTGATAAATTACATTCATAATCAATTTTCTGGCAGTAGTGAAATAAATGGAAACCCATAGCTGCCTGTCGGGTAGGAGATTAATCTGAAAGTTTATGCTATTATATTTTAAAAAAGGGCCGGCAGTAATGCGCAGCATACATGGTCTACAGTTAATGAAGTACAGTATGCAGTGAGTCAGAGCCTTTTGAACTAGTCAGGTCATTTTAGATGCCAACCACTGGATGAATTGAGAGTGTCCCAACATATGCTCTCTTGTTCTCTTGGCGCACCACACCACACCAGGACTTACTGAGACCACGGGCACAGTGACGCCCACGGCTGTGAGCACAGTGGTGGACACAGTGCTGGTCTTATATGGGAGCCTGATGCTGTTGTCATTGCAGAAGAATCCTCTCTGGTAAGGGGTGAATGGAGACTTGTGCAAAAACACAGCAACAAGCAGCACTGCATGGTTGGACAGATATATGAGCGCGGGTCAGACATCTCTTTAAAAAACAAAACAAAACAGTGCACAACTACATCAACAGACATTATCCTGCAGGAAGGCAGAAAAGCACATAAAGTCAGAGAAAGGCAAACATACAAACATTAAAAACTCCCAGCAGACATATACTGATGTTACATATCAGATCCTGTCTCCAACTGCCACTGATGCTGTCAGAAGAAAAAGAGCCTAAATAAACAAACTAAAATCAGTTTAAATAAACACCTAAATTAGAGCTACATCACTGTTTTAGACTTAAGTGAAACTTTTATGCTTAGAATAGCATCGACTGATCTCCAACAAATGAAAGTGCTAAAAGGGTGGGATGTGTCATGTTGTTCAGAGAATCCATCACTGCTAACAGACAAGAAAAATAAAACACTATC